TGTCTCTTTTCTCATGCCTCAGGGATGCATCTTCCAGCAACACATCAGCAAAAATTACATGGAACACATGAACATCTTTCTCAATTATTTTTAGTGAGTCTTTTTAGTTGCAGTCTTTTTGAAAGACTGGTTGGGCTTATTTGAACTTCTCTAAACAGAAAATGATTACTTCATAGATAAGACTTAAAGCCTTCAACAGAAATTTGCCCAACTTGTCACAACAAGTCATCGGTTTACTGCTGAGATTGCTCCAACTAGGCCAACCTGTCAAATGTTTAGTTCAAACAAAGAAAGAAAGAAAATATTAGGCTTCCAGCACAGTGTAATTTGGATCTATTCATACAATAGATACAGTAGGCATGCATAATACTTTTTTTATTCTAGCTTCTCTGGATTGTCTGTAAATGGAAAGACATGTAAATATATCCCAAAAAATATATATTAAAAAAGCCTTAGACAATTGTATGAATGTAATCAATTTTCTCAATGTATCCATATATTTAAGTCCTCATAATAAATATATAATAATAAACAGATTTTTATTAAAGAAAATTAAGCCCATTTTATTTTAACCTTTTTTTTTTACTGTGGTAGAAAAATATATATAATTGAATAACTGCAATGTTAAAAATAATGACATTAATTAAACTGTCATTGTTTTTATATGTTATGGTACATTTTGTGTTGTCTTTAATTTATGCGGATTTACTGTAAATAAACATAAAACCAGTAAAGAGAATTACCATTGGGAATGCAAACATTCAAATACATTAGGTGAATATCTAGGGGAAATTGGTCCTAAAAACTTTTTTTTGTTCATGCAATATATATTTTTTCTTTTAATTTTAACTCATAGTGTGTTGTTGGTCTAGTTTGAGGAGGTATGTGTTTTTTCAAGGGCCATATGAATTGCTCAGGTATGTATTTCATAGCTGCTGTGATAGTAAAACTGGTTACAACTCTGCCCTTTCAGAGCTGGAGGATAACACTAATTTTTATGACCCGTTTCAGATGCAAGAACACACTGAAAGGAGTCTTTTGCTGGAAGACAAACAGGGTTGTTCAAAGAAGGGTACAGAATGGGAAAATGCAGAACAAAGCTGGAACTCAAGACCCAAACACATACCTGAGGGCAAAGGTGAGGGGTCAAAGATACCCTTTCATAATGCTTATGAGAGGTAGGAGAGGTCTTTTTTCTCTCTTTTTTCTTTTTTACTGAACAGGAATTCTTTGTTACACATATACTCAAAACACACTCTTTACCTGAGTCCACACCTAGCGCAAGACAAGAAAATAAATGATAATTAATTTACTTTCTGTCAGTTTGCACGTCTGTGAATGTAAGGGAGATAGAGAGAGAGAGAAAGTACCTTAAAGACAAGAAAAAACCCACACATTTTCAGTTAAGCCATATCCAAATGGTTAGTGAGAAGCGCATGTTCAGACAACTCGCACAGGTGAAAGACTAGGTGGTGCAATCATGTTTTAGACCCTATTTATCACGCAACGTATCACACGTACACACAATATTCATATCATATGTTGAATCTCCTCATTCTGAACAACTTTGCCTCAAGAACCACTGCTGTCAATCAAATTGCTCATTAAACATTTGCGATTATTTGAAAAATCTACTTTTTCGAACTCCTCATAGGCCATTTGTGCAATTTGTTCAAAACTTGGCATGCATCATCTAGAAACACTCATGGCAAAAAGTTATCAAAATAATTTTGATTGGTGATTCAGGTTCGCAACAGAACGCCAAAACGTTTGAAGTAGCAGTTGCCTTTTACTAAAATGGTTATATCTCTTGGTTGCAATGAGTAATCACAGTAAAAAAAAATTAGCTTTGTCCACCAAGTGGCACTATAACAGGAAAAAACAGGAAAATGGCTATAACTACGCAATTGTTAGTCCGATTAACTTGAATACTGGCATACAGTGTCTTGGTCGAAGGTGCCATGAATGTCTATGAGGACCTTCACGTCTCTCAAAAAACATGGCTGCCATTGGCCAGTAAAATTTGAGGACCTGTTAGACCAGGTTAACGGAGGCCGATCAAAACGAAACTTGGTGGGCCTGTTTGGCTCTTGCCTCTAGTGGTCTGTGTGAAGTATGAAAGAAATCAGTCACCAGGTGGCACTACGTATCACACATAAACTATATTCATAGCATATGTTGAATCTCCTCATTCTCTATAACTTTGCCTTAAGGTCCTAGGTATTTCACTAAACCTCAAAACCACTGCAGTACAATTCTCTAGATTCTCTAGTTTTTTTAGGCCTAGACCCTAACACCATAGATGGCATAAAGCTCTTAATATTCTTGAACCCCGATAAATGCTGCTTGCAGCTTTAATTTTTAATGTAACTTTACAATCGATATTGATAACCTTTAGCACAGTATTCTGAATGATGATAATAATGGGATGCCACTGATAGCCTAACATACTAGCAGTTTATACTCAAATACGTTAATAAAGACAAAACTCTTTAGCTTATTTACAGATGAAACTGACCTGCAATTGAAGCCAAGAACAGGTCAGTGATGTTGTTACATTTCACTGCTTCTTCTGGCCGCTTTCTCTCTTTCATCGAGTCCCGCGCATCGGTTCTGTTCGGAACCATTCGACGGAAGCGCGGAACAGGCGCAGTGCTGCCAGTCAAGACTAACCAATTTATGATTTATTATCGATTTATTTAATGAAAAAAATCGGAAATTATCACTTTGGTAAATTAAGAAGGCATAAATATAAAATATTAATAATAATAGCCTAACTGAAAAAACAAAAAAACAAACAAAACAAAAAAAACGGAATTATCCCGGTGCTCCCGATGTCAAAGTCCGGGTCTGGTGGAGGATGTTAACTATGACAAGATGATTGACAGGTCAGTTTTCAGTGACAGGGTGTGTGTAACTATGCGACAGAGCAGTCTGTTAAAGATGCAATTGTATGACGTGATAGTATGTCTCAAAGCTTGAGTACTCTTCTACTACACACTCAAAAGTGTGTATTCTTTTTTGTTCACCAAAGAGTACATAATTTAAGGGCGTAGTATAAGTAGGCACATTGGGACCCAGCATTGCTAATTTCCAGGTAGGTGTGTTAAGGCAAGTTGGAGTTAAACTCTGCAGGACACTGGCCCTCCTGGACCGAGTTTGGAGACCCCTGATTTATTGTATTGTATTTGTTTTGTTTTCATGTTCCCTCATAATCTTTACTCAAAAACATTAACTTTCCCTCCCCCTCTAGCAACTTGTCACATTTGAGGTTGGATGGATACAATAATTTTTTCTTGTTCAAGGAGCTGTTTCACTCGTATAAATGTCACAATACAGAAGAAAAGATTATCAGAATTTCCTTAAATGAAAATTTACCCTAAATTGCATTTTTGTAGATACATTTTTTGTGACGATTCATTTAAAAAAAACATTAACTTTTGCTTCCATTTTTGAATGCAACACCGCACCTTAAAATCCAATTAACAACTGATGCATATATATATAGAACCAAGTACCCGCCCTACATTTTTTCTTTTTCGTTACACCTGGATATCCGTCACAATACATAGGAAAATATCTGACACTGTTTCCGTTTCATTGCGACTTTAAGAAACTTGTTGGAAACAGTCATTAATTTTCTAGTTCCGTTTGCTGCCTCTAGAAGTGCAGAAATGACAGTTAACAGTAACTAACAGGCAATCTCCATTTCTTTGAGAGACAGACTTCAGCAAATGTGAAGTGTACACTAGCAGTGGAGAGCACATGAGGAGCCCAAGACATTAACCACATCCATTATCTTTCTCTGCCTCCCTCTCTCACACACTGACTGTCTTTTAAAAAAAACATTAACTTTTGCTTCCATTTTTGAATGCAACACCGCACCTTAAAATCCAATTAACAACTGATGCATATAGAACCAAGTACCCGCCCTACATTTTTTCTTTTTCGTTACACCTGGATATCCGTCACAATACATAGGAAAATATCTGACACTGTTTCCGTTTCATTGCGACTTTAAGAAACTTGTTGGAAACAGTCATTAATTTTCTAGTTCCGTTTGCTGCCTCTAGAAGTGCAGAAATGACAGTTAACAGTAACTAACAGGCAATCTCCATTTCTTTGAGAGACAGACTTCAGCAAATGTGAAGTGTACACTAGCAGTGGAGAGCACATGAGGAGCCCAAGACATTAACCACATCCATTATCTTTCTCTGCCTCCCTCTCTCACACACTGACTGTCAGTACAGTACCAGCTAAAAATAAAGTAGTATCACTGTTTTTACATCTCCTCCCTATCTCATTCTTTTACTCTGACCTTCCTCATTGCCTCCTGAAGGTGAAGAGGCAGTCTACAGAAAGAATATCTTTATGAACCCAGGCATGATGTGATGTGGGTCTATGTGGATAACAGCAGAGGGATTATACAGATGTTGCGTGTAAATTCAGAGCTCTGGATTACCTCTGAACTGAGAGTAGGAGAGTAGGAGTTAACATCGTCACAGTGCCATGCTACAGGGTCGTACAGCAGTGTTTACTCGGTTGGTATGAAGGGGCGTCGTGGCCCAAGAGTGTGTGGCTGTGCATGCTTCTCTCAGAAAGTTTTGGCCAGGTGTGAGTGCTGCTTCAGACAGCAAGGTAAGAGATCCATTAGTTGCTTTGTCACTTTTTACATTTTTCTGAGTGTATTTGTATTTGTCTGGTTTGGTAGGCTTTGCTGTTTTTACAGGATGACTATTCTGAATATGTTCCCATACCTGATTAGACCAAAAGGATTAATTAACAATAAGATCTTAATTCATATTACACATTTTAGAGCTTGAAAACAAGTGTATTAATTATTACCATTGTTCTGTTGCTTCATCATTCGACCTGTAGTTTGTAAAAATGCTGAACCTGGATTGTCTATAGAAATGTATTATTGCTGATGCAATATGTGTGTGTGTGTGTGTGTGCATGTTTATGTGGTTTATGAGGACACACATTTGTATAATAACATGGGTATGACATAGGTATTACAATGAGACGGTGATTTATGAGGACATTTTCAGTGTCCCCGTAATTCAAAAGGCTTATAAATAATTCAGAATGATTTTTTATGAAAATCTAAAAATGCAGAAAGTTTCCTGTGAGGGGTAGGTTTAGGGGTAGGGTTGGTGTAGGGCAATAGAAAATACGGTTTGTACAGTATAAAAACCATTACGCCTATGGAGAGTCCCCATAAACCATAAAAACAAACCGGTGTCTGTGTGTGAATGGTTGTTGCAGGATTATGGTTATGCGGCCTTTAGAAACAGCTAATCCATATTCCACACAGAAAAAGTAGAATCCCATTCTCTCTCTCTCAAAATCTTTTTTTCCCTTCATGCCCTTCAAATAGTGCATGTTTCCCCCATTTTGCACATTAAAGCATTTAAACATGGGGGAAAAAACTATTTTAAGCTGTAACATCTGCTTATAAGGCAGAATCTCTTCCATATGCTGCCAGTTATATTTATGTTCCACCTTTCATGATTATGTGGAAAATTCAGCAAAAATAACTGCAAGATGAGTATTAGTGATGGAGCTGGAAATTCCCTTGCGATATATCAACCATATTACTCTCTGTTTCTCCTAATTCTCTCCTTATTCAATCATTGCACATATGTACTGCTATTCAGAAGTCTGGTGTAAGAGGGGTCATAAAACCAGTGATATCATGATTAGTTGTCATGGGGACCAGGGGGCCTGGTGTTTTGCAGAAATCCTGGCATCCAGTTTATTGAGTGAGGGGACTGTGACGATTTGTTAATCTAATGAATAATTGATTTGTTAAATCAAATAAAAATTAGTGTGTCAGATTGGTCAAGACGCTACAGCGCAGTAAAAATGTTTTAATAAAATAAATAAATAAATAAATAAAAATGCAACAGTGAGAAAGGTTTTCTTTAGCACAGTAAATTTTTTTAATTAAAAAATAAAATAAAATAAAATGCAACTGTAAAAGACTGTTAATTGGGAAAAATATCAATACTATGAATATTACTGTAACGTACTTCAAACTATGTTTTTTACTTTATAATTTATGATGAACATGTATAATATTTTAATAGAACAAAGATAAATGTTAATGGAAAAATAACATTAAAATTATAAATTAATAATACAAAAATAATAATAATAAATGAAGAAGAATGAAAAAAAAAACTTTTTATAACTGTCCAATGGTAATTTCGAAATAAAGGTCACTTCTGATGAACTTTAAGTCTTCTATTGCACTCCCTGTTTTATCGTTATAGTTGTTAGTACATCATCCAATCATTAGTCAAATGTTGCCAGCTGCCATTTTTTCTTCACCGTAAATATGAAAGCTGTATTTTCTTGTGTTAAGCACCAGGTTTTTTTGTTGTTGTTGAAATGTTGTTTTAAAGATTTTCTACTACATTCCCTTTCTCTCTCTCTCTCTCTCTCTCTAGAGTCATACACATTGACAGGGCTCAGCGATGCCTCTTTGCCTCCTGATACACCTTCAACCTCCGTCTCCACTGATGACCTCTCTCCGATCTCACCCGGCAACCATCAGCCTCTTTCCACTAGACAACCATCTACCACACCACAGCGCTCCATCAAGGCCCTCAAGAGATGGTTGAGCAGCCCAGTTCGAAAGCTTAGTCTGGGCAGAGGTGGCAAGGGTCGGAGGTCAAATGTCATTCAGAGCCCAGACGGGTCAGCCTATATGTTTCTCCCGCTCTCATCTACTCAAGGCCCATTGAGCCCAACGGAGTCCAAAAAACTGCCCCGCTCCTACAGATCTCTGGTATGGACATCATTTATACTATACCATTCAAAAGTTAGAAGTCAGTAAGATTTTTTAAAGAAGAAATTAATACTTTTATTCAGCAAGTATGCTTTAAATTGATCAAAAATGACAGCACAGGCTTTTGAATTGTTACAAAATCCTCAAAGGATCCTGAAAAAAGTATCACAGTTTCTACAAAAATATTAAGCAGTTTTCAAATGTATCACATATATCACAATGTTACTGTTTTTAACAAACAAATGCAGCCTTGGTGTTTTTTCTTTCAAAAACATTAAAAAACTCTTACCAATCCAAAACTTTTGAATGGTAATGTTTGTCACAGAGAAACGAAGTTATTTTTATATATTACACTAAAACTGTACACACTTTCTCTTTTTGTGGAATTCAGGACTGTGCTGAACTTTCAGGGCCAGCATCTCCTGACAGTCCCTATTACCCAAGATATCTAAATGATCTCCTGCAGGTAATACACAACACTGGACCGTACTGAAAATTTGTATACATAATTGCAGATTTGTGCTTGTGACATCTAATGAGTCCAATTTCAGAGGCATCAGTTTTGTGATGTGCATTCTGGGGAGAGAGTTCCCGACTTGACTGACGAGACACATGTACAGTCGCAGAGCCCAGAGGATGATAAGCAGGAGAGAAGAACTGCTTTAGAGAAAAGCATGTTGGTATTTGATTGATAGTGACCCAAACCCATTGTTTCTGGAAAACGATATTGTTTATAATCTTTCTCCAAATCTGGTGTACCTTATGTCTCATAGATATGTGCTGACAGAGCTGATAGAAACAGAGAAGCTGTATGTGGAAAATCTGGGGCTTGTAGTGGAGGTAACATATAAATGCATTCAGTCAGTAGATCTTACTCATTCATTCTTTTTAACTCTCATGTTCTCCTTTCTCCAGGGTTATATGGCTACAATGAAAAGTGTTGGGGTGCCCGAGTATTTGGTGGGAAAGGATAAAATTGTGTTTGGGAACATTCATCAGATCTATGACTGGCACAAAGAGTATGTCACCTATTGATAGGATCTGTGCCCATTGAGATGTGTAAACCTGACCTTCTTACAGCTGCTGCCTTTATTTTTATTTTGTCTCAGCTATTTTCTTGGGGAGTTGGAGAAATGTGTGAGGGAACCTGACCTGCTGGCACAACTGTTTATCAAACATGTAAGTCTATGTTTTATTTCCTTCTTGCAAGTTAAATTGCTGGTGATATAGTCAACATTAAATGCAGTAATCCATCTTACATAAATTGAAATGTATGTTAAGAAATTAATATCTCAGTGTGTTTTCCAGGAGAAGCGGCTCAACATGTATGTGGTTTACTGTCAGAACAAGCCAAAGTCAGAGCACATCGTCTCAGAGTACATTGAAACCTATTTTGAGGTAATTTATATTGAAATGAGGTCAAATCAGAATATAATTATAAGGCAGTGTTTACTCTTTGGTGTATGAGGTCAAGGTCTATGCCTGTCCTGTGCTCTTTCTGCATGTAGGAACTGAGACAACAGCTGGGTCACAGACTGCAGCTAAATGACCTGCTCATCAAACCCGTTCAGAGAATCATGAAATATCAACTGCTGCTGAAGGTGTGTTTGTGTGAGCTTGTAGACAAGTACATAGTCTTTTAAAATAGCTACTTCTTCTAATTGTGCATGATTTAAAAAAAAAAAACTTTTCTTGCTGTTTTGGGCCATAGTTGGACTCCAAAGGGGGAGCTTCAGCTACCTGGGTGTTACTTATTCAGATGTTACAGAAAAATGTGAAAAATAGTTTATCAGCTTAAAATTCTTCAAATAGACTACTGTTTGAAACTTTGGGGGTCCATAATATTTTTAAAGTTTTTGAAAGAAGTATCTTATACTAACAAAGGCAGAAAGTTAAAATATTGTAATAATTTAAAATAATTGTTATCTATTTTAATGTATTTTAAAACGTAATTTATTCCTGTGATGGCAAAGCTGAAATTCAGCAGTCATTACTCTAGTCTTTAATGTCACATGATCTTCAGATATTATTCTAAAATGCTGATTTGGTGCTCAAGTAACATTTCTCATTATTATCAGTGTTAAAAAACTTTGATACATTTTTTTTCAGAATTCTCTGATGAGTCTCTGATGAGCAAGTTCAAAAGAACAGCATTTATTTCTAATAAATATTTTGTTACATTAAATTAGCATTATATTGTTATGTCCTTACTGTTACTTTTGATCAATTTAATACATCTTTGCTGAAAAAGTATTAATTTCTTTAAAAAAAAACAACAACAAAAAAACACTGACCCCAAATTTTTTCATTGGTAGTGTACGCATTTCAGGGATTATCCTCAAATTTTAGTCATTGTTATAAATCTTATCATTGTATGTGCTGATACCAAGTAGCAACAATTGTTTTGTTGCTATATAGTGATTTGTAAGAAAATAAAATTGATCATGCCTTGTTGAACTGTTATATAGATAAAACTGGATCTTAAGTAAAAAAACAACAACACAGAAATGTTTAAGTCATCGCCCCATTTTCCATACATATTCTTGTCCTTCTTTATAATTTAAGGAGCTGAGCTAAAATGCCTGTCCATCTAATATTCTCCCTATATTCTGTGTTTATGTGCATTTATTTACAGGACTTCTTGAAGTACTACACTAAAGCAGGCAGGCAAACAGAAGATCTTGAGGTAGGTGCAGTCTGTACTGGCTTATAAGACTGAGCAAAAGAGAGTAAACTCATTCTCAGGTGACATACTGAATTATTATTCTGTCCTCTTTGTGTCCTCTTTGTGTCCTTATCTCAGAGGGCAGTAGAGGTGATGTCTTTTGTTCCAAAGCGATGTAATGACATGATGAATCTTGGAAGACTACAGGGTTTTGAGGTAAGATGAGACACAAATAAGCTGCAGAAATGTAAATGTTTACTTCACCTTGGACTGCTCCAGTATCCAAAATGAGCACAGCACGAGTCCATTATTTATAAAATAATTATCTATTTAGGCCATTTATGGTTAGTTTTATTAGCTCTCTTATACCTATATTTGAGGGTAAAAATGCACTTGAATGACTCGTGATTGATTGGGTTCATATAGGGTCAGCTTAGAGCACAAGGAAAACTCTTGCAGCAGGACACCTTCACATTCATTGAGAATGAGAACAGCATCCTCTCGCGTCCCAAAGAGAGACGGGTGTTCCTCTTCGAGCAACTTGTCATCCTCAGTGAGCCAATCGACCGCAAGAAAGGATTTTCCCTGCCAGGATACATCTATAAAAACAGCATCAAGGTGGGAAGCAGAAGAGAAAGTAAGAGATTGTAGGCCAAACAAATATGAGGGTAAATGTTTATTTCTACATTTGTATCTTTCATAGATTAGTTATTTGGGCATTGAGGATCATTGCCCAGAGGACCCATGTCGGATGGTGTTGACATCTCGTAATATTGATGGAAGCATGCAACGATTCGTTCTTCGTGCATCATCTCCAGAAATCATAATGACCTGGGCAAATGACATCATACAGATGCTGGAGACACAGCGCAACTTCTTAAACGGTATCATCATCATAATACCTTCCATGACCTTTCTGTGACCTTGCCTTAGAGCAGAATTCTTAATGGACACTGTTCTGTTTCATCTACTCTATCTCCCCTGTCATAGCCCTGCAGTCTCCCATTGAATTCCAGAGGAAAGAAATTAAATCTCTCAGCCTGGGAAAGAACTTGACAACTTCACCCTCACTGAACTCTGGCCTGCAACCTTTTAGCTCTGCCTCCATAGACCGCCAAGGTCTGCCCTGTCAGCGCTCCTGGAGTTCTTCACAACCTTCTATGCCTCATTGAAAGGTTAGAGTTTGCTGAATTGTTAAGTTCACTTATCAGAATTTGCTCATTAAAAGCCCAAAAACATAGAGTCCAGAGTTCCATCTTTTGTAGAGAACTGATATTTCATTTAAAGACTTATGATTTCACTCTGTTCCTTTAATTTTCAGCTTTCTGTCAGTCCTGTGAAGGCAGTTTCTCATCTTTCTCTTCCCTCAACTCATACAGTGGCCCATCTGTTACCCTCATGAGAACATTATAAAGAGGTAAAGGAAGACTTAGTCCATTTTTGAGTTAATTATGTCCGATAAAAGACTGAATTGATTTAATTATCCATTAAAACCGAATTATTCTTCTGACTGCCATTTCAATATAATAATTCACACAAACAAACTGTAAATCTATCACAACCTTCAATCTTTGACAATGTTAACAATTTGAGTATTTTACACCTACTAGATTACATTTTCTGCTACCATAACAAAAATTTAATGTATTGGACTGTATATGCAAAATTTTGTGTCACTGACAAGATCAAACTCATGAAAGATCGAATATGATCATAAAGATTATATTTGTAGCTACTGCTAATTCTATATTACTGAATGCAGAGGCTGAATTTAGGCATTTGACTTGTCAGGTACTGTAAATATCAGGTATGTGTACTTGATCCTTTTTGTAAAAAGACAGAATATCAAGCTATCCAATGTGTGTTACTATTTCTTATTTCAATGTAGATGTATTCATTAGCAGTTTATATTCACTGAATGACCCTAAAGAGTTTCATATTAAAAGCTGTCAATTAAAAGATTCTCAAGTTATCCCAGACTTCTCTGTCTATAGATTTACACAGCTCTTCAGGAAGACAGAAGACATGCCACAAAATGTTACCACCAAAGCCTTTATCTCATTCCATTCGACAACAAATGCTTTTTTCTTACATTTACAAAAAAGGAAAACACATTTTTTCCCCTTTTCCCCCTTTATATTTAAGGGACATTTGCATACTACATTTTGTTCTTTTAAAAGGGTCATATGATGCATATGATATACATTTTTCCTTTCTCTTTGGAGTGTTACAAGCTCTTGGTGCATAAAGAAGATCTGTAAAGTTGCAAAGACTAAAGTCGAAAACGAGGACGATATCTGCTTCTTCATGCCTGGAGCTGATCCGTGCTGGTCGATGAGGAAATACATCAACTTTGCTCTGTGGATCGCCGGATCGGCTTTCACCGTAGACAAAGCGGAGTCCAGCCCGGGGTCATCACATGTGGTTGCCGCAAGCCCACCGGCCACGCCGTTCTCAAGACTGCCCGCCTCTGCTCACTCAAGCCGGCCTCAGCATACTCTAGGCCACTGCTCACTCAAGGCCGCAGTGTGTGACACTGTTTCGTTGTGAAAGCGAAACTACTTTGTTTGGCCTTCCAAAAGAGGACACGACTAGAAATCAGTGGTTAAGCTGTATTTACAACACTGTTCCAGAACAGTTTAACCCAAATATTCAGATGTGTCCAGCGCATTTTATGGAGGACTGTTTCCTGATCCAGGTAGAGTAGACAACAATGCCGGCTGCTCTGCGATGCAACGCAACGCAACGCAACGCGTAGAAAGACAGTATAAGTCATTATAATCCATAATTATGTCCCCACTGGATGCAACAAATGCCTCGTTTATAATGGGTTTTAATGTTTATGTCTCGTCGCTCCGGCCAGACAGGGCATCACAATATGGTAAAGGGCCGTAACATTTCCGTCACATGCTTGAGGTATTCGGCCAATCACAATGCTCTCGATAGCTGGCCAATCAGGGCACACCTCGCTTTTCAGACCGATGAGCTTTGTAAAAATCGACACGTTTCAGAAAGGCGGGGCATAGAGGAGAAACAATAATGTACAGTATGTGGAAAATAATGTTTTTTTTTACCTTAAACCGCATAAACACATTTCATTGCACCAAATACACAAAATAATGTTATTTTTAGCAGCATCATATGACCCCTTTAAAAATGATCACTAGGCAGCCATACTTTTTGGGGGACAGAGAATTAGCTACCCACTGGTAGAGATACAAAACACCAACAGAAATTAGGAGTCATGCAGACACAGTGAGAAACCCAGAGATGAGGAGACAGAATCATGATCATTGCAGTAAAGTGAAGAGGAAGCAGGGAGGTTTTTGAGAAACACACTTTAAATATCATCAAAAATTCAAACTCGCCATTTAATACACAGCCAGAAAATCAGATATTCAGCTTCCCATATCTGTTCAAGCTCCTATCATCTTAAGCTCATCTGAAACTAACCGTAAGAATCAAGTAGCCTTACACCAATGCTTTTACATGCTCCTTTTTGACCTTGCGCTCATGCTTACACCTGAATATGCAGGGCAGACAAATGGAAGCATTCTTCAAACAGAATCATAGCAGTTCTATACTTAGTATTGCAGGAATGCATCCTTCAGTTGTCTTTTTCAGGACTGGTAGAGAGCGATAAAGAAAAATGTAAAAGTATTTTATACCTTTTTTCTGTTTTGAGGAGCATCACATGGCATTCAAGATACAAAGCAAGTGCACAAGAGTTAGTTTTCAATTCCATTTTACACCATTGCTTGTTATATTCAACCTGTGCACTCATTAAAATCCATTATGTACTGAATTATGTATTATGTAAAATCCATTATGTACCTCTTTTTTACACTGTGTTCTTTCACTTCCTTAACCTCTTTTAAGGCTTTCTGGACAGTCATGCACTTATTTACTCCTGTATGGCACCATTTTTAGACAGGATATAACAGAAAGGAAGGGGAAAACTATCACACACTCACACACATCGGTATAATCTTTGACAAGGCCATAATGTTGAACATTATTTGAAGAATCTGTGATTCAATGTATAATGCAGCAAACAGTCATTAGGGCCTCATGCTGTTCATGAACGACAAAGTAAAGCCCACTTGATGTAGTTTAAAAAAAACACTTATCTCTCTCCCACACACACACACATAAAACAAACAATATGCAAACAAACGTAATTAAAATTATGCACAAGGATGTTATACATTGGATTAGACAGCAATTACATCGGCTTCTTCCATGCTTTTACTCTACAGAAGGTGGCTGCATACAGGTAATTTTTTTAACTATTATTTATTTCTATCAAATAGAGTACAAATCAAGGCTTGGACACATTTATCATGACCTTTTGATCTTAAAGGTTAATTTTTGTTGAGAAATATACATAGTGTCTGTTTACCTAGTTTTTTAAAAATGGATTATTGAGCAGAGTTTAGCTACTTTAAAAAAGCTAGAATATAACATTTAATTTTGATTTGTTTTTAGGTTCGACATTTTCATCATAAAATTTGTGGAAAATAAGAAGAATGAATAAAGAATCAGTAAGTGTTTTCATATTTTTGACTGATACTGTGTAGATATAGCCTAACATTTGAATAACCATTTTATTTAATATTTTTTGTTATTTGCACATCTCTGCCATTTACTCTGAAAAGTTTATTAATGCTGCTTTTTTTATTTTAGTAAGGCTAGTTTTCTCAGCCATTCCGCATAGCAAAAGCCACTGACTTGACCTTTTTCCCAACAAATCTGGCTTTGGATGAAATCCAGCTCAAACAAACAAACAATCAAACAAATAAATAAATAAACAAATAAAACCCGTACAGTAAGCGCCTTTGGAATATACTCTTATGATGTGAACTAAATTTATAAAAGCTGGCATTGGACTTTACATCTGGCTGCTATCTTCATGCTTCAGTACAATAGGATACAATCTTAAAAAGAACCAAGAATAAAGGAAATTTTAAAAAAGTACAAACAATAAACAAGTCATACAAGGACAGCAATTAAGCCTTTGGCACAGTCACTCTTTAAAACAAAAAAAAAATACTGTACAATGAATCACCCCTCCATCTTTTGCTGAGAAATCTGTCGAAGAGTGTATGTGAGAGGGAGAGAGAGATAATGAAAGTGATATTTTGGATTGTCTGTGGTTTTAGCTTGATAATGATGTTCAGTCCATTCCTTCTTTTTAGTGACGCTGAGGGTCGAGTCGCTCCAATTGAAGTCCATTTGTTTTAGTGCAAACATACAGAGAGATACGACCCTCAATAAAACACACACAGACACACATAAGCACACACACGATTAATGCCAGGCAGGGAGCTGATGTGACATTCTATGTCAACGTCCCAAAGAAATGGTCTCCCTTTAACTGGACTTAAAAATTCTAAAAGTCATGGTTCAAAATGTTTACCTCCGCTGTCTTCTCTTCGTTTCAAAAGAAACTTCTTCTGTTTTCTCATCAATTAAAGGACTAGTTCACTCAAAAATGAAAATTTTGTCAAAAAATCCTTGTCATTAAGGAGCTTGAAAGTCTCCTTTATGCATTTGAAACAACATCCACGTGAGTAGATGATGACAGAATTCATTTTTGGTCTCACTATCCCTTTAAATGTGATACTGAAACACGGTTGGCTGAGGAGAAAAAGACGGCTGTGCATAATTTACAGAATGGTTTGATCTTGAACAAAAATAAAGCTAAAGAAAGGAGACACAAAAATACGACATCTTCAGGTATCAAAAAAATCTTAACCAGCCATCAATGTGCATCTCATCCGTCAGTCATGTGATCACATTATGACCTTTTCCAAAAGAATAGGCTTATTTGAACTCCCCCATACTCACATGGGACCAAATACAGTACATACACAGCACACTTCCAGTGTCTTCACAGGTCCCTTTAGCTACTCAGGGAGAGAGTGTTCGTTTATGGGGGATGAGAGAAAGGGAAGAAGGCATAGCCAGGGTGTGTTCAGTTGTGTGTTAGACACTGGAAGCGGTTTTTGAAGTACAAGAGGCCATTTTTGGTGTGTGTCGCATCAGATGAAGCAGGAGGGTAGCGGAACTTTGCGTAAGTTTTGTCGCTTTCCGACTCGCCCCATGGCAGCTTGATTTTGGTGGCGTGGTTCACTATGACATCATCACATGACCCAACATGCAGGGAGCCGAGTCCATCGATAAAAAACTCTGTAAAACAAAATATAGAAATGAGGAAATTTGTGTCCCTTTTTGTGTCAGCGTGTTTGTAATTTCTTATAATGACACTTGCTGCTGCTTTAATAAAACAAAAGGCATATATGCACATTTTACACATATACAGTGGTGTGAAAAGGTTTTTACCCCCTTCCTGTTTTTTTTATTTTTTGCATATTTGTCACACTTAAAAGACTCAGATCATCAAACTAATTTTAATATTACACAAAGATAATGCAAGTAAATACAAAATGTAGTTTTTAAATGATGATTTCATTTATTAAGGGAAAAAAGATCCCCCCTCCTGTTTTTATGGGGGATGAGAGAAAGGGAAGAAGGCATAGCCAGGGTGTGTTCAGTTGTGTGTTAGACACTGGAAGCGGTTTTTGAAGTACAAGAGGCCATTTTTGGTGTGTGTCGCATCAGATGAAGCAGGAGGGTAGCGGAACTTTGCGTAAGTTTTGTCGCTTTCCGACTCGCCCCATGGCAGCTTGATTTTGGTGGCGTGGTTCACTATGACATCATCACATGACCCAACATGCAGGGAGCCGAGTCCATCGATAAAAAACTCTGTAAAACAAAATATAGAAATGAGGAAATTTGTGTCCCTTTTTGTGTCAGCGTGTTTGTAATTTCTTATAATGACACTTGCTGCTGCTTTAATAAAGCAAAAGGCATATATGCACATTTTACACATATACAGTGGTGTGAAAAGGTTTTTACCCCCTTCCTGTTTTTTTTATTTTTTGCATATTTGTCACACTTAAAAGACTCAGATCATCAAACTAATTTTAATATTACACAAAGATAATGCAAGTAAATACAAAATGTAGTTTTTAAATGATGATTTCATTTATTAAGGGAAAAAAGATCCCCCCTCCTGTTAAATCATGAAAGAACTGCAATTAACCACATTATTTTAGAAAGCTGAGTTAAATTTCACTAGCCACACGCAGGCCTGATTACTGCCAGACCTGTTGAATCAAGAAATCACTTAAATAGAACCTGTCTGACAAAGTGAAGCATGCTTAAAGAGCAACACATCATGCCGTGATCTAAAGAAATTCAAGAACAGATGAGAATCAAAACAGTCGACATGTATCAGTCTGGAAAGGATTATAAAGCCATTTCTAAGGCTTTGGGACTCCAGAGAACCATGGTCAGAGCCATTATCCACAAATTGAGAAAACTTGGAACAATGGTGAACCTTCCCAGGAGTTGCCGGCCAACCAAAATTACTCCAAGAGCACAACGACGACTCATCCAAGAAGTCATAAAAGAACCCAGAACAACATCTAAAGAACTGATGAGACAAAAGTTGAACTTTTTGGAAGGTGTGTGTCCCGTTACATCTGGCGTAAACCAACACAGCATTTCATAAAAAGAGCATCATACCAACAGTCAAACATGGTGGTGGTAGTGTGATGGTC